TATTTTTGTCGAGGCAGTCTTGCTATGTTTTCAGGCTGGTCTTGAACTCCTGGCCCTCAATGTCCTCTAACCTTTGGCTTCCCAAAAGTGCTGGGATCAGGCTATGAGCCCACATCCCTGGCGCTTGCGATTCTCTTTTGTTAACATTTATTTTATTCTTTTTGATGCTGTTATGAATGGGAATTGTTTTCTTGGATTGTTTCCATTTGACTACTATTAGATTCTGTTATTTTGTGAGTTTGTTTTTTGTTATATGTTTTTTGTTCTCTTGTTATTTTGAGATGGAACATGCTTGTATTTCTGTGACCTTTCTAACTCACTTCTGTCTCTCTTTTCTTGTTTTTTTTCTCTTGTTTTTTTGAGAACGAAGTCTCGCTCTGTCGCAGGCTGGAGTGCAGTGGCCGGGAATCTCAGCTCACTGCAAAACTCCAACCTCCCGGGGTTTACACCAATATTCTCCTGCCTCAGCCTCCCGCGTAAGCTGGGACTAACAGGCGCCCCAACCTCGCCTGGCTAGTTTTTTGTATTTTAGTAGAGACGGGGTTTCAAACGGTGTTAGCCAGGATGGTCCTCCGACTCTCCTGATCTCGTGAATCCGCCCGTCTCGGCCTCCTGAAGTGCTGGATTACAGGCTTGAGCCAGCCGCGGCCCGGCCTTAGTCTGTTTTTTCTTAGTGGATTTCCTCCGGATTTCTCTTCAGAATCATGTCTTTGTAATTGACACGCAGACAGTTTTACTTCTTCTTTTCCAGTATGCATGCCTTTTATTTCTTTTGTGTTGCATGATTGCACCATCTACATCTCTAGTACATCTTGACTAGAAGTTTTAATAGCAGATTTCTTTTTCTTGTTTCAGATTTTACAGGAAGCGTTTAGTCTTTCACTGTTAAGTATGATGCCAGCTGTAGGCTATTTGTAGATGTCCTTTTTCAAGTGTGGAAATTTTTCTTGTAGTTTGTTAATAGTTTTTATCATGAATAGGTGTCGGATTTTGTCAAGTGCTTTTTCTGCATCCATTGAGATGATCATATAGTTTTTGTCTTCTATTTAATTAATTAATTAATTAACTAATTTTAGAGACAGAGTCTTGCTCTGTCACCCAGACTTGATTACAGTGGTCTGGTCATACCTCACTGCAACCTCAAACTCCTGGGC